TTTATATATAATGTATATAATTCTATATATTATATTGCAACCTAGTTTGAGTCAGCTTTTGCCTCTCCCCCCCACCCCCAGACAGGGTTTTGCTGTGCAGTTCAGGCTGTCCTTGAACCAACTATGGAGCCCAGGCTGGCCTTGAACTCATGGCAGTCCTCCTGCCTCAGCCTCCCAAGTGCTAGGATTACAGGTATGCACTACCATGCCCAGCTGGTCAGCTTTTTATATTTGGTTTTTATAAATTATTCAGAGTTGTAATCCCAGCTCTTGAGAGGCTGTAGACAGGCGGATCACTAAAGAGTCCAATATAGTAGTGAGACCTTGAACACCCTGTAGACTCTTCCTTAAAAAATACCAAAAAAAAGAAAAAAAATTATTCAGAGAGTTTTAGGTTGGGCCTGAGTGAAAAAGTAAGCAATGTATTAAATCAAAAAGGTAAGATGTAAGCTAAAACAGACATTGGCAGAATGGGTAGATTCACAGTGAAATGAATAGGGGAAAAATGTATGAGCAGATAGGCTCAGGTTAAAGCACATCCTCTACCAGGGCCACTAGATGGTGTAAATAGTTGGTAGGACTGAAATGAGCTCCACTCAACGTTTGGAGGAAAATCCCCAAAGAAATTAAACTTGTTTCCTCTAGGGAAAAATGGATTTGTTTTGGTATGTGTGCTATCTTGGACTATGAAGGTTGTTGGGGGTACTAGGAACAGAGCCTAAGGGTGCTCTACTACTGAGCAATGTTCTCAGTCCTTTTTTAGCTTGTTAAAATTTTTTCACAGGATCTCACTAAATTGTTCAGGCTGGCCTCACATTTGCAATCCTGCCTCTTGCATGGCTGGGATTATAGACGCGCACCTACCTGTACCTACCTATATGTGTGTTTTTGTTTTACATTCTACTTTGTTCAGTGCAAACATTTCAAACTTTATTTTGCAGATGTGTAACCCCTGAGATGGTGTCACCCCACATGTGGCTCGATGACACTTGGCCAACGCCAAGTCACAGAACTAACACAACTCTAGTATTGTGAAGGGGAAGACACTGCACAAGTGAGGTCCAAATGCTACATTTCTGGTCTCACGTGCTAGGAGTCCTTGCGGGCGACAAGCAGTACTTACTGGAGTGAGGCGGCCAGGACTCCCGGTATTCACTGCCTGCCTGAGTTCTGGGTGATTTGCCACGAACCTGGGGAGCCACACAAAAATCACAAGAGCAATGATTGAAGAGTTTAAACAGCAGGTAAACCAAAAGGGAACCTGAACTGTATACTTTTCTACCACCTCTTCTTCCATAACCTATAAAACAACATTTTTATCTTGACAATAGTTATGTACACTGATTAAAAGCTTTCCAGCTTCCAATGCATTTTCCATGTTTTCTCACTCCACACCAAGCTCACTTGAGCGCTTGGGAAGAAGAATGTGCAGTAAATAAAGACCCTGAGCTACAACAGCAGCTGAAACAAGCGTTATCATGAATTCCTTCCTAGGATTGTCGGGCTGCAAGGCGATCAGCTTCACAGAGAGGAAAACCAACAAAATTTCAGCAAGATCTTACGTATCTCTCGGTGCTGCCTTCGTCTACATTAAAATTCACAATACCAAGCGTTCTCGGAAGCTCGCCTAACGTGAGGCACCCAGCGACAGCGGTACCTTCCGTTCCTGCTTCTTCTGGGTCTCCACGACGCGCAGGCGCTCCATGAGGCTGGAGATGCCCTGCTCCAAGCTGTCGATGGTGTGGTGCTGAGGGTCGTGGCCGCTGAAGCTGTTCCGAAGGCTGCGCAGGGCGTCTCGGACAAGCTGTAGGTCGCTGGTCTGTGGGCAAAAGGAACGTGCTGCGAGCAGGCACAGTGCTGCACGACTAGCCCAGTCTTGACCAACGGGCTTAAACAGATGGAGCAGAGAGGTTGCTAGAACAGGTCTTCTATTTTTTTAAAAAGCATTTATTTATTTATTTGGTACAGGCTCTCACTACATAGCTTAGACTTGTAGTGATCCTCCTGTCTCTGCCTCCCCAGGGCTGGGATTACAGGTGCGCCACCACACCTAGTTTTGATGGCCAGCATGGCACACCTGGGGCTCTGACGCTGGCACAGCACGCAGTACTGCAGATCGAACCTGGGTTCTTGTGCTTGCCAGGCAGGTGCGTAGACCACTGAGCTAACTCCCCAGCCCAGGTCTTTTATTTTTGTAGGGGAAAATTTTTCTCCTCAGAAGCAGGCCTATAAGTAGCCCACTAATTATTAGGGTGTTTGTTTGTTTGTTTGTTTGTTTTTCTGTATTTAGGACAAGGTCTACAGGGTCTCACTGCATAGATCAGACTTGTAGTGATTCTCCTGTTTTCGACCTCCCAAGTGCTGGGATTACAGGCGCACGCACCACACCCAATCGCAGTCGCCATCTGGGGGCAAGGTTGGGGGCAGGCAGCACAGCATGCCAAGGATCCGACCCGGCCACTGCACTCTGCCTAAGCAGGAGCTTTCGTCTGCTGAGCTATCAGGCTGGCCCTTCTTAGTTTTGTTTTTTTTTTTTATTTTTTTCACTGTTTCAGTCTATATAACAGCCTATCTCACAGTGGGGAGAATGCTGGAATAGGTTAGACTTTCTTGCTGTAGCAAGTTCAAATTGTCCTTCTTAGTTTTAAATGGATACCACTTCACATCTTTATAAACCTCACAGATGCAAGAATTAGGGGGCTGGGCATGCCTTGGTAATGCATGTTTATCTTCCCAGCTACTTAGGAGACTGAGGCAGGAAGATTCTGAGTTCAAGGCCAGCCTGGTCAACTTTCAAGACCCAATCTTAAAAATAAAATTGTTAAAAAGAGCTGGAGATATAGCGCAGTGATATACCATTCTCCTAGCACATGGAGGCCCTGTGTTCAATTGCCAATATGGAAGGAGACCAGGAGGGAGGGAGAGAAGGAAGGAAGAAAGATGAAGAGAGAGAAAGAGAGATAAGAAAAGGAAAGGAAGAAGGTAGGCAAGAAGAAAGGGACGGAGGAAATTAGGACCCTGGAACATAAAAAGGCGGGTTCCCTGCTGCTAGCCAGGGCCCTGTTCTGGGCCAGTCAGAAGAGACAGACCTGCACTCTGTCCTGGGCACCTACCCCTTTGTGCGTGATGGAAGCGGCTCCTTTCCCTGCTGTTGGAATGAGAAAGCCATTGCTTTGAGAGTTATAACTGGTGTAGTTGGTCACCTTCAATAACAAGAAGAGATGTGCTCGTTAAAGGGAGAATTCTGAGCCAGGCTGTCCCGTCATTTTCTTCCTCACACTTCTCACCATAGTACAATATTATTATTCCTATTAATTAGTTTTTTAAGACAGGGTTTTGCTATTTAGCTCAGGCTGGCCTTAAACTCACTGTGTAACCCAGGCTCTGCCTCTCAGACTCAGCATGATCTTCCTTTCCCAGCTCCCCAAGGGCATGGATTACAGCTGTGCACTCCCACACCTGGCTTTGTACACTTGCTTAATGTTTCTATTAACATGCAAACTTCTCAAGTACAGACCGTCTCCCTTTTATCCACGGCTGTACCACTACTGCCTCTAACAGTAGGGATTATGAATGCAGAATGAATGAAGTGAAAGCCTCACCCAGGGGGCCCCCAAATTACCCCTCTGCCACAGCCACTGGGGGACGTCCGAAGGCTGCTCTAGCAACCCCTGACTTTGCTTCATCATGAACAGTGATTAATCTTTTGTGCTTGACTGCCAGAACTGTGTTGTTGTGTGTGGGCTGTGTTGGCATTATTGCCACCTTCAGGTCAGATCGTGGGGGCGAGGTAAAGCTAGAATTTGAAATCTGATTTTCTTATCCTGGAACCTGTACCTCCTCACAAACCAGTCCCTGGCCTGGGTTCAGCTCTGTGAAAAACATAATCTACCCCTCTGCCTCACAACGTGGAAGGGAAAGCCAAAATCCCAGGTTACCTCCTCTACCTCTCTTTTCATACAGTGGGCCAACAGGACGTCCTTGTGTTCTAGCTCCCGTTCTAGATCCACCTACAAAACAGATGACAAATCAGAGGAAAGTTTCTGCAGGTCAAAGGTGCAGGAAAGTCGGTGGCTGAGCATGGTGCAACCTGCTGGTAGCTGGCGTCTGAGAGTTTCCAGAGCGCTTCCTCCAACTTGGCCTGGTGCTGCTGAAGGAGGCGATCCTTCTGCCCCAGCTCTTTCTGCAACAGAGACAGAGCTTTGAGATGTGTAGTAAAACCAGGGACACCGAACGGCTTGGCACTTGCAATATAATTTCTACTTAAGTAACGCCAAGCCTCACAGGGCCAGGCCATTCCTCAAACTACCGCAGGAAGACCAGACACACATAATAGTCTCACACAGCACAAAGTATTCTTGGAGGAGTAAAGAGGAAAAGAAGTATTTGTAGAGGACCAGTATGTGCCACTGATGCTCAATAGGTAACTCCAGTACTGGAAGTTTCCAGACTCCTTGATCTGTTCTGCTTTTCCCAACTGTGCCATCAATTGTTCAGGGATGGTGAATCAAAGGAAATTAAAAGAAAAGATTTCTTTCCAGAAAACAAGGATGAAAATAGAGGAGCCACAGAAACAACGTGCTGTTTGTGGAGGGCACAGGGAAGTCACTTCCAAAGCAACACTCACGCTTACTTTATAGTCTCCCAAGAGCCGATTCCGCTCATCTAGCTTCCTCTGTAGATCCACCTGCAGGGTAAGAAAGGAATCATTGGCATGGAGGTGCTGTACACCAACCCTCAGAGTAACTGGAGTTCACGCTGCCACTGTAACCATACACCATGGGGACAGCCGCTCTCATCTCTTTGGTCAGCTCATCAGACCACAGAACTACTATTCAGCTTCAAAACTGAAGGAGTCAAGGACCTTCCTTTCCAGCACGTTATGGGCTTTCAGCTAGAAATGGAAATGTATCTCATGGAGGATATGAATAACTGCAGACACTGAGGACAGGAATCCCAGAAGCAAGATGAGAGAGACCAGGCTGGCACGTCTAACGGAACTTATGTATCATCCCCTTTGGCCAGTGGGATCCACTGAAGTTCGAGTTGACATATGCAACTCACATTCTGGTTGTGCAGCTCATCTTTGTCCATAGTCGCTCTCAGTAGTTCTTGTTTGAGCTGAAGAACAGATGTGTCCTGCTGAGTCAGCCTCTGCTGCAATGCATCCTGGGAGAAGAATCATAGACTCAGTCAAAGAGCCCAATAGTATTAAAAGTTACTACACCTTTTAGTATGAGAATTTCGCTGCAAGGATCTGAGCAGGGATTTTCTGTCCTCCTTCAGGACCATAGCAATTAAATGAAAATCTGATCCATTGTCCTACCACACTGAGAAAACCTGACTTTTCCTCCAGCTACTATTCATCCTCAGCCTATACTTCATTCCTGGCAGCATTGTGCCCACGCAGGGAAAGAGTATGCTCTGGGATCAGATAGGCCTGGATCCCAACTACCAGCCTTCCATGCCCTACTTCCTTGACACTGACCTTTCCTCATCTACATCTGGGCATCTAAGCCCTTAATGTAGCCAAGCTCTTTTCCCTTCTATCGCTGTGCCTGGCCCCCACTTTCTAGACAGAATGCTCTGTCATTATTCCTTTTACCACTCAAAAGGAATCTCAGAAATCACTCCCCCTCTGGCTCCCAGAGTCCACTGCTACTCCAATGCCTTGTCTGGGCCAGGATGGTGAGAGATTATATTCCCTTTGCTTGGAAGGATTCTTGGAGTGATGGATTCATTCTTTTCAGTGCCCTCAGAGCTTACCAGCTTTAAGCTATCCTCTCCTCAGCTTGGACTCTCTTGTTTCCTACTATGCCTAAGAAAAGCTAGGCAGGCTGCACATACTGAAGCTATAACACATTCCTCTAACAAATGTGACTTCAAACAGAACTCAGGTGCTGTGGCTACAGTCCAGCATATTTATCCTAACTTTTCTCTCCTCATAGACTGCAAAGAAATAATGTAGGCTATGGCAAATACGGGAGCCCCTTCTTAATCATGCTGTCCGCCAGGACAGTACATAACAAAGGCAGTCTAAGATGTCCTTGGCATCGGTGTTTTAGAAGATTGTTTCCAAAGTGCACTCCATGGGACTTTATAGAGTTACACGGGATAAAAGTTACTTCTGTGGATAGCAATTCTAACTTTTTCAGACCAACCTCTTTACAACAGGATACTATGGGACACTATGGGACACTATTGCTGAGTTACACTCTAGGCTTGCCATGAGTGGATATGCAGGAAGAAGAGAAGGCAACGGGTTTTCTACTTGTAGGTATTTATTGAGCAGACACAGTCCTACCGGCAGCAAGCAATATACACTCAAGGTGCTTAGCTAGATCACTATACTAGCAAAAGATTAGGAAGAACCTGCAATCCCATCAGTAGGAGATTGATTAAATACATTATCATATGTTATCTAATAGCGTGCAGCTATATGAAAACTTAGGAAGGCCAAAATTGAATGATCTCCAAGATACACTGCTCAGAAAAAAGAAAAAAGCAAGCCATCAAGCTGTATTCCCTGTCTTGTTACAATTGGGTAAAATGTGGGTTATTACGAACTATTCCAAAACTAAGTAAAGTACAACAGAGAGAGACAGAGAGAGAGAGAGAGAGAGAGAGAGAGAGAGAGAGAGAGAGCGAGGCTGACGCCACCATTGAAGGAAGCAGCACCACCCTGAGTCCTGACGGCACGACAGATCTGCGCCTACACATCTCACTTTTGACCACCAGGCCCTTTCTTTTTTCTTTCTTTCTTTTCCTTTCCTTTTCTTTCTTTCTTTTGCATTTTTTAGGGAAGGGTCTACAGGGTGTTCAGGGTCTCACTACTAGATCAGACTCATAGTGATCTGCCTATTTACAGCCTCCCAAGAGCTGGGATTACAGGAGCACACCACCACGCCTAGTCTCAGTTGCCATCTCAGTGCGTTCCGGGGGTGGGCCGGCATGGCAGGCTGGGAGATCGAACCCCCGGCCCCTGCGCCTGCTTGCAGGTGCTTTAATCTGCTGAGCTATTTGGCCAGCCATAAGGCCCTTTCTTCATCAAGGGCACAGCATCAGCTAGAAGATGCCCAGCAACTCCCAATGACTCTCCTAGAACCCCACTCGCACTGCTCACCAATGGGCTACTTTACCTTACAGCGACTTTAAAGAATGGAACATCTTCCCCTTTACCTTTATCCCCTGTAAATTTCTGGCTTCTTGTTTACATTTCAGCAGTTCTTTCTGCAAACCAAATACAGTTAGGTCAGATGGTGGCATCTGGGTTGCTTCAGAAACATTACCGCGTTCTGTCAGCGCCAAGGCGAGACCCAGTTCAGTTAAGTATTCTGTGAAAGATTAACCCTCTTCCGAGGCAGACAGCAGAGGTGGCCTGGTAAGCAGAAAGCAGGACCCACAGAAACAAGCCAAGGCCCACTCTGGTCTTCTTGGAGGCACCTGCTCAGCTGTCCGGGCAGAGAAGAGCTTTGTCAACGAAGGAGATGCTCCACACCTCCCCAGGGGCCCCAGCACTCGGCAGTCCTCACCAGCAGGAGGACCTCGCCATGGTAAGCTAATGCCCTCCGCTGAAATGCCTAGCCACACGTGCCTGCCCCAGTGTCGAGAAATCGCTGTCTTGGTTTTACTGTTCTGCAAAGGGCTGGAGGCTTTCATTCTGTTCTTCATGAGCCAAACAAAACCACATTTGGTGTGATTGTGAAATTCTGAGTAATTTTCCCTCACAACAGATTAACTATACCTATGATTGTCACTAAAAAGGAGATTTTAACTCAGCTGCTGCTCTCTTCTTTATATAATGTGCCACACGAGTAACTTGTCATGAATATAAAGAAAACGCGATTCTTGAAATGTGCGGTCTGGGTACTGAACCTAGGACCTGATGCATGCTAGGCGAGCGCAGCATCCTGCCCTTCTCATTTATTTCTGTTTGTTTGCTTGCTAGTTTTTGAGAGAGGGTTTCATGATGGCCTTAGACATACACATTTCTTGGACACACAGTTTAAGGCTGGCCTCAAAGTCACTTTTTATGTTATTTTGACACAAGGTCTTGCTAAGTTGCACTGACCAGCTTTGAACTTGTGATCCTCCTGCCACATCCACCAGAGTAGCTAAGATTAGTGTGTGCCAGTACCTTTGAGAATAGGGTTCTTAATCTGGATTGCAGAGATGGGCTCAAAAGTTACTCTACGAGGGCCGAGGCTATACCTGGGTGGTGGAGTCCTTGCCTGGATACGCGAGGCTCGAGGTGTAACTCCCACTACCACACAACAATATTATTCTAGTAAAGCCTCGGGCTCTGAGTGTGTATGCATATTACCGGGGAGAGGGTTAATGGCTTTAATTGTACATCAATGACTCAAAAAATTTAAAACCCTGACCTAGGAGAATTCTGGGACACATCAACAAAGACTAAACTAGGGTCCAGTTTTTTTTTCTCTCTCTCTCTCTCTGTCTCTCTCCCTCTCTTTTTGAGATAGGGTCTCACTGTGCAGTTCAGCCTGGCCTTGAGCTCACTTTGTAACTCAGGCTGGCCTTGAACTCTCAATGATCCTGCTGCCTCAG